GACTCACTCTCAATAGGTCTGATGCACGAGCACGTGGCTGTTTACAGAGGCGCACGGAAGTGCGCAGTCGGATGCCCACCAGCACGAGACCAGGCAGGCAGGTGGACACACACCTGCACACACACACCTACGTTCCCCCATAGACCCACTGTGTGCCGATAAACAAGGCCCTCGGGGTCACGCTTTCGTTCTCGGAGTTCAGCATCCGCACGTCAAGGAGGTGGATCGGTACTCACTCCGCCGTGAACACAGACGCACGCGTACGCACGGATGTACACGCTGTCGCTCGTACCTGTTCATACACAGTCAGACGCACACTACACACAGCGATAGACACACATTCAGTGTCGTGTCCCGCTGCCCAAACACCCTCGGTGCGGCCACGACTGCCCTCATTCGTGCACAGACAGACACACACACACACCCGTGTGCTCAAACCCCTCACCCCAGTAGACACGACTCTGTCTGTCCCTGCACAGTCCTATGTTGGGGTCTCAGACCCTGCCCGGGTAGTGGGAGGGGGCTCAGGGAACAACCCACCTTAGAGCATAAGAGGTGATGGGCTTGGAACCCCTGTAGGACACCCAGGACTGCCCAGCCCCAAGGGGACCTCCTCTGGCCCCCAACCCCCAAACCACTGCCTGTAGCAACCCTCCTGGCCACGACTTATGACCCAGGTGGATTTTAGGACGATTCTTTTAGGATCCTGGTGGGGAAGAGGCAGGTTAACCACCTGAAGATGGTTCTGGAAACTCAGGGTCAGGATCTGAACATTTTGGGATGCTTAAAGAAAATCAGACTCCAGTGTCAGGTGATCTCAGAGTGACAGCCCCAACTTTCTGAATAATCTGTGGTCAAAAGTGGAGTGACCATGAAGGTTGGAAGAGGGAAAATAAATGTCCCAGTGTTGTGGAACACCAGAGCAAGGCCTTGGGGTGGCTTTTGAAAGAGGGACAGCCCAGGAGAGTGCAGACTTAGAATTCAGACATTCCTGGGCTGGAATCCAAACACCGCTGCTTGTCAGCTGTGTGACCTTGGGCAAGTCACTTCCCCCCTCTGACCCTCTGTTTTCTCTTCTTTATCATGGGGAGAATGAGAGCTCCCTGGTGGAAGTTAGGGTTCCATCAGATGAGGTTAACGCCGTGCCTGGCACACGGAGAGCGCTCGATAAGTATTAGGAGTGGACAGATGTCAGACAGACTTAGGTTCCCGTCTCAGCTCTGACTTTTCTAAGCTGAGACCTGTGCTAAGCAGTTTCAGTCCTCTGAGCCTTGAGTTTCCTCATCCTTGAGTACAAGAACCCTCATGAAGATGGGAGTCCTTACACAACCAGGGTGAACGCAAGGTTTCCATGAGGGCGTGCGTGTGAACGGTTCGGCCTGGTCCCTGGCGGTCAGCGCATGACTGACACACGGTAGCTGTAATGAGAACGACAATATTATAATATTAATATAAGCATCTAATCATAAGAATATTATCAATATTGGAAGAAGCATGGGCTTGGGGCACAGAGAACCCTGGCTTGGCTCTCACTGTGTCGTTCACCAGCTCTGTGACTCTGGAAGCCAGAGAGCCTCCCTGAGCCTCAGTTTTCTCATCTGGAAAATGGACGTAGCGTGGCATCTACCTCATATGGCTGCTGGGAAGATCAAATGGATCCAAAGTACCCTTCATGGAGCTTGGCATCAGGGGGGGACTCAGTAAATGCTAGTGGAATAGAAAGAGAGAGAGAAAGGTGGCATCTGGTTGCCCTGTGACCAGAGTTAGCATCCGGCTAACTGGGTCTTCTGGTGAAGTGAGCACTCGTCCCCACTGCTCTGGGCTTCCCACCCACTGCCATGCAGCCTTAGCTCAAATGCCCACTCCCCGCCCTGCCCTCACCTCGTGCGGCACATTCTGTTAATACCAGCATCATTAAATCTTCCTCTGGGTGACCCGCCAGGGCTTCCTTCTCCGCACCCCAGGCCACAGGATGGAAGACTGTCCGGTGTTTCTCCACGGGGCACTAGTGGCATTTGGGATGTGACGATTCCTCATTTGGAGAGGGGAAGGGGGAGGACTGTCCCCTGTACAGCATGCACATCCATCCCTGGCCCCGGCCTTCCAAGTGCCAGCGAGGCCCCAAGTCACTGGGGGCGGTCACAGCTGGCTCCGCACTGTCCCAGATGTTCCATGGGTCGCAGGCACGAGAGTCACTGCACAGTCTAACCCCCACTCCCCATTTATATGTGGGTAAACTGAGGCCTGGAGGGACCACACATGAGTCAGCAGCATCCTGATCCTGCCACCGCCACCGCTGGCACCTGTCTCACCAGGCTGGGGCCAGAGACGGGGACAGTCGAGATAGCAAGAGATGTGTGTGAGTCTGGGGCATGCCCTGGAAATTCGCCATTTACCCAGATTCCTGGTATCCTCTGAGTTTGCCTCACTTGCTGCCTCAGTGAACAGCTTCAGGTGCCAGGTGCCACGTGGCAGAAATAATCACAAGAGTGGCTTTGACAGCAAAACTGTAGAATTATCATTCATAAACCTCCTCCCTCCATCCTTCTGCTAAGGGAGTAATTCCATTTCCTTTCTCTGCACTTAAATATAAATATATATGTGCATGCTAAAAAGTGGTTTTACGCTACAGATAGACCCAGATACCGATACAGAGAGAGACAGATGGCTTTTGTAACTTGCTTTGCTTTTTCTAAGGGCGAACAGTTTGTTTCTGAGATGAGCCTCTGTAAGAGTGTGCTAACGGTCATGTGACTTTGTCTAAACCCTGTTTCTCTCTTCTGTAGAATGAGAGTTTACTATGAACCTTTCAGGGTTTTCAAGAAGGTGACGTGAGCTTATTTCTCAAGTATTCAGAAGCAGAGTAAGAACTCTGTAAATGGCACCCATGGTTTGAGCCACGTAGCGATAACGGTGTCCTTCGTCTTATGGGATGGCTGTGCTTCTGGGAAGGTATATGCAACTCAAAATTTGAGAAATACTGGAACACAAAGGTGCATCATGAGCCTTTCAACCAATTTAACAGGGGCCACTTTTTATTTTTTATTTGTCTTTATTACATAAAAAAATACATATGCGTGGTAGGAAAAGTTAGGAAAGAGTTTTACAAAAAGATAGAAATAAAAATTGCCTATAATCCTACTGGAACAGTCAGAGTTCCCTAGGGAAAGAGAACTGATAGCATAGATGGATAGATACATGAAGAGATTTATTTTAAGGAATCGGCTCACATGACGGTGGGAGCTGGCAAGTCCGAAATCTGCAGGGCAGGCTGCGGGCTGGAAATTCAGGCAGGAGCTATGCCGTGGACTTGAGACAGAATTCCTTCTTCTCCAGGAAGCCTCCAATTTTGCTTCTAAGGCCTTCAACTGGTTAGGTCAGGCTCACCCACATTATCAAGGTTAATTCCTTTAAAATCAACTATTCATAACTGTAGATATTAATCACACGTATAAGATACCTTCGTAGCAACGTTTAGACCAATGTTTGACCAAACTGGGCGCCATGGCCTCACCAAGTTGACACGTAAAACTTACCCATCACACCTGCTATCCAGAGACATCATGGTTATTAACATGTTAGTATATGTCTCTCTAGAGATTTATATTGACAGATAACTTTTTTAAAAAATTGATATTTTATAATATGTGTGGTTTTATATTCTCAATTTTTATTGAACATTGTATTTTGAACACATCTTCATCTGGTTACAATAACCTTTAACACCATTACTTTCAGTGGGGCCATAAAATTCCCCTCTATTGTCATTCCACACCTTAATTGCCCCAAAACCTCATTGTTGGGCACCTAGGTTGTTTCTCATCCTTTACGTGCTAGTTCTAATAAATGCTGCAGAGGACATCCTTGTCGATGAAATCTTTGTGCACATCTGCAGTGGAAGCTATGGGTGCCCGCCCCAAGTCCCCTTGGCTATGGTGACTGTTGGTGACAATAGCTCACATCTGCCCCTTTCTCTGAAAAATAGCCATTGGTCCGACAGGAACAAGCAGCCTCTCCCAGGAAGTGACGCCCCACCCTAGGGGACAGCCCACAGCCAGGAACTGGCTGACACTGGAAGCGGGGACATACAAGGCCAAGGCCAGTCTTCTTTCCTCAAGGTGGGACCAACTCCCCGGTGCGGTTTTCCCTCCAGAGCTGCCTGTGGGAGGCGGAGGTGGGCTCCATCTGAGGTCACATCTTCCCTCTCTCCTTCTTCTGTCTTCTTCTGCTCCTCTGTTTGCCCCTATCTGATCACGGGCCTTCAATAAAACACTTGTCCCAGCCTCTTCCAGTGCACCTGGCTTAAGGCTTAATATCTCTGAATATTTTCTTAAGGGATGACTTCTCTTGGATTTAGCAATGGCCACCAAATTTTCTCTCGTGCAGTTGCAATATTTCTGGATTAAGTTTTCACAACTGGAGTCCCTCTCATATATCAGGCCCTGGCAGCCTGTAGGTGCTCAGTCGTGGGGACACAGAGACTCCTGAAGCCCAGGCCTTTCCCCCTAAAGCCCAGGGTTGTGGTGGGGAGAGCGGTACCCTGGTTCTGGTGAGGAAGAGCAGGTGACACCCCTAGATCATGTGCTTCCCTTGATCTTCAAACCCTCGGCCCTCTCCTGATGAGATCATGAAAACCCGCCGTGGAATATGCCATTTCCCTGAGTGAGGCATTGCCACCCCTGAGAATGAGGAGGTGACAAGTTGGATGGCTGACAAAGAAAAGGGACTGGCATGGCCCAGGTGACCTGCACCGTTGACATAGATGCCAGGGTCGAGGAGAACAGTCTTTGATTTATTGACCTTATTGGTAATGAACAGACCTGTTCAAGAACCAACGATGGGGCAGCTCTTTCTGCTTTGGCTCGCTGTGTGGGCTTGAGTGAGAGTCTCGCCTTCTCCGGGCTTCAACTTACAGCAGCCCCTTCCAGAAGGTGGTTCTCCCGACTGGATCCGCCTCCTTCTGGATCTCACCACTACTCCCTTTCCCTCTGGCTCTTCAGATGGAAGCGCAGTGTTTCGAGGCTGCTTCCGCCGGCCTGACAACCTCTCGCTGGCCTTGCCCGTGACGGCCGCCATGCTGAACATGTCCGTGGACAAGTGCGTGGACCTCTGTACAGAGAAGGTGAGCGCAAGGTCGGGCTCGCAGAGCTCCGGGGGAGGGCAGCGCAGAACAGCTGAGGGAACGGGATGCTTGGCTGGAGAGGCAACGGCTCCGTCAGGATGGTTGAGGTCACTGACTGTGATCCGTGATGCGGGGGACGGATGTGACTGTTTCGAGTGGATCCAAGGGTTGGAGCTACATGGGGTAGATTTCTCTCCCTCTGAGGAAGTGTGTTCTAATAGTGCAGAATGCACAGGAATAAGCTGACATTTAAACTGGGCCTCGAAGCACGAGAAGATTTCCAGGTGAAGGTAAGGACAATCCTATCTTGGGACAGAGTGAGCTCCCCATCACTGGAGGTATGCAAGTAGAGACCAGGCAGAGGCAGCGTCCAGAACTCCGGGCATTGGATGACAGTGAGATTGGGTGATCTATGGGTCTTTTTCTCAGCCCAGGATCCTAGATGGCTGCCTGTTTATCCTTCCTTCCTAGCCGGACTGTGAACTCACCAAGGGCAGAGGCTGTGCCTCGTACATTTTGTGAACACTCTCCCCGTACCCAGCACAGAACTGGGCACATACCTGGCACTCAGCGGTGTCCGAGGAGCTTCAGCCCTCCCTCAAAAGGAGCTCAGGACTTGATGTCCAGAGGGGAACCATCCCACCTCCACCACAAAAAGATAATTGGGCGTTTCACTCACTCTGCAAATATTGAATAAGAACCTGTTATGTGTCAGGACCCCCTGCTCCCCACCTCCAGGGGATCTGGAGGTTCCTCCAGGGCCCTCTTGGGGAGTGAGGAATATCCCCCTGGCAGGGATACCACGTGGATGGGGGATTCCTGCCCAGAGAGCTGGACCAAATGATGGCCAAGCCTCCTTTAATCTCATGAACTTCACCCCTGACCCCTGACCTCCCAGGATGCCTCTTAGGAGCCCAGTAAGCCCACGGGCGATGCTTGGTGATTTGAGGTAGCCTGGCCTCTCTCCAGTGGCTCTTGGAAGCCTCTCTGTGGGGTCTCCGGGGTAGCTCAGAGCTAAGAGCTTGGATTTGGAGTCAGTCCCCAGTGTCAAATTTAGCTCTGTCACCCGCTTGTGCTGTGAGCTTGGGCAGGTGACTTCATCTGTCTTGAGTCTTGGTTTTCTCATCTATGAAAACGGGGATAAGAATTTCAAACTCCTAGGCTAGTTGTGGGAAGTGAGCTGTGTGGCCCGCGGTGCAGAGGGCTGCCTGGAGGACGTCTCGGCAAGCAGCAGCCGCTACGGTGCTGCAGCCTTCCAGTCTCCCCGAGGGCTGGAACCCAAGGAGGGAAACCGCCAAGCAGGATGATGACTCAGAGCATCCAAGCGTTGGGGTGAGGTCTGAGCACCCAGGAGAAGCCGCAAGGCAGGCCCCCGGCAAATGCCCACATCCCTGAGGACAGAGACCACATCTCCTTGCTTTCTATCCCCAGCACTAAGGAGATAAACATGTGTGTGACAGCGAAGTCGCAGGGTGAGCCAGTGTAGCAGTCAGACTGTACACAGGACTGGAGAGCAGTGCAGGTGTGTACGGCTGGACAGGAAGGCCCCTCTGTAAACCTCCCTCTTCCTGTTCGCTCTGATCTCCTTAAGGGACAGAGGAGAGAAACCCGGGGAATTAAACAGGGAGGGATACAGAGCTGCCTGTGCCAAGTGGGGGAGAGTCTGAGATTTAGGGTGTCAGAGGAGGTTCCAACAGGTGTCAGTAGTTAGAAAACTTCATCAGTGGTGGCCCAAGAAGCTGACCCGCCAGGCACCGCAGCTTGTGTTGCATTTCAAATCTGTTAGGAAGAAACCAAACCCGCCATGACAAAGCTTGCTGGATCCAGCCACATGGGTGTGACCTTGGTTTGTTCCCAGATCTGAGGACCAGCTATCAGGGAAAACTAGGGGATGTGAGTCTGGTTTAGAAGCAAATTGGTCAAAGGACAGTCATCTTAGGTCCACCCTGGTCCATCCTGGTCCCACTTAGCTGTTTGATAGAACACAGGAAGCATTCGGGAGTGGCTGTCCTGACAATGGCTACACGCAGACGTCAGTGTCCTCTTTGGTTTAAAAGCACAGCTTCAGACAGCTTTTCCCAAGGCGTGGGCTCCGTATCACCGTCCTACCAAGGGGCCATTTCCTGCGACTACATTGCGTGACAGTGAGAAAGGGATTTCTTTTTCAAGTCCTCCAGGAGAAAGCATCATCTCAGTGCTAAAGCGTCTCTAACACCTCTCTACCCTCGGCTACTCTCTCTTTTGCAGGAAACATGACCACAGGCTCAGACTCTTGCCTACACAGAATTTAATGACTTTGTTTATATAGTATTTGTGTTTATGGGAACGTGTGGAAATGCTGCTTGGTCACAAGTACTGCTTGTGGTAGCCGTATAAAGTTTCCTTCTAGATTTAAGTTTCAAAAAGTGAGTTAACGTAAAGGAAACAAATAAATGATACACTGGAGGTGCACAGGTGGGCAAAATCATAAAAGGAGGACTCACTGATGAAGTCTGGGGGCCCTCACGTTGAGGGAGAGTGATGGGAAATGGGAAGGTTGAATGCAGTCCTGCTCCACGTTTGGAATGTCGGGCTGTCCCCAGGGGTTTAGCAACTCTCTTCCTCTTCCTCTCCCACTCCACCCCCAGGAGTACCCGCTGGCGGCTCTCGCGGGCACCGCCTGCCACTGTGGGTTCCCCACCACCCGATTCCCCCTCCATGACAGAGAAGACGAGCAGCTCTGTGCCCAGAAGTGCAGCGCGGAGGAGTTTGAGAGCTGCGGGACTCCCAGTTACTTCATCGTGTACCAGACGCAGGTGCAAGGTAAGCCAGGCCTCCCCGCAGCCGACCCCCGTGCTCTCCCAATAGCCACCTCCCAGCGCCCCATGGGGCTGGTTCCAATGACCCCATCCCTATCTTCCATCACTGAGGACCCTTTGGTGGCCTTTTTCCTGTGGTAGAGGCAGTGGGATGAGTGGGAAGAGAGACCCAAATCTCCCACTGGCTCCAACACAGACCCACTGTGTGATCCCGGACTAGTCATTTCCCCCTCCTGGGCCTCAGTTTCTCCATCTGTAAAATGAAGCTGTAGATTGTCGACCTGCAAAGTCCCTTCCAGTTCTAGGAATTGGTAACTTTATCTACAAGTTCTTCCTTCTCTCACTGCTTCTCTCTCTTCCTGTCTCACTCATCCTTTCCACTTCTAGTCCTCTTCTTTTGCTAGGAACCCACACTGTTTATCTCCTCTTCTGTCTCTTGGACTACCCGACATGATGATGATGATGGTTGATGGTGATGGTGATGGTGATGGTGATGGTGATGGTGATGATGATGGTTGATGGTGATGGTGATGGTTGATGGTGATGGTGATGGTGATAGTGATGGTGATGGTGACGGTGATGGGTGACGGTGATGGTGACAGTGGTTGTTGATGGTGATGGTGATGGTGATGGTGATGGTGATGGTGATGGTGATGGTGACAGTGGTTGTTGATGGTGATGGTGATGGTGATGGTGATGGTGATGGTGATGGTGATGGTGATGGTGATGATGATGGGTGATGGTGATGGTGATG